ATACAATATAGGTCACCTTATTTTAAAAGGGCCCCAAAGTGACTGTCCCTGAACTACTTTATAAATTCTGCATGATTCAGTTTCACTTTCAGAGAGAGAACAGGCAGTTAGAAGTTAAAGACAAATGCTTATTCCACGTAAGTAGTCTGTGGATGATTTTCCAGGGAGATGGAACTGGGAGATGGAACTGGGAGATGCTGGGCCTCCAGGTCCTGCATCTCCCTTCCCAGCTGATTTGCAAAGTGAACCTCTCCCTCTGCACAGCTCTTGCCTTGGTGTTGGGGATGGGGGAGACTCTCCTCTCCCTAGGTTCCCATGTGAGCACCTTCTGAAAGGATCTAAAACAACAAGGATGGTTCTGTCACCTGAAAGAGAGGAAGGAAGATAGCACAGGTCTGATGTAGCAGAAACGTAAAACAGAGTCCCAGGATGAGACATCTTTCCAGTACAGGAAGCTGTGGTCTGATTGGTGACTCCCAAAGTGCTGTGTGTTAAAGGCTTGGCACCCACTGGTGGTGCTGTTAGGAGGTGGTGACACCTGTAAGAGGTGGAGCCCAGTAGGAGGTCTTCTGGTCATCGGAGGTCTTTTGCCCTTGACCTGGCCCTTCCTTTCTCTCTTTCACTTCTTGGCTGCCATGGGGTGAGTAGCTTTGTTCCACTGCGTGCTCCCTGCCACCACGTTCTGTTTTGCCACAGGCACAAAAGCAAGGGGCCAACTGACCATGGGCTGGAGCCTCTGAAACCATGAGACCAAGTGAACATTTCCTCTTTTCCAGTTGGTTACCTTGTGTATTTCATTATAGTAATGGAAAGCTGACTAGCACAGGGACACTGTTTATTTAAAGCAAAGGACATTTTTGTATGTGAACCCAGATCAAGACGAGTCTTATTCATTCTTCTCTTAGCACTACCTCTCTGCCTTGGGTGGCAAAGTTGTCCATTTCTCTTGCTATAGAACCTCCAGATGAGTTTGCAGGTTCACTTTGGCTACCCTGATATATGAGATTACAAAGGAGTCTGCCAATTCATATGCTGGAAATTTAATCCACAGTGTACTGGGTGTTGGGAGGTGGGGCCTAATGAGAGATATTTTGGCCACAAGAGCTCTGATCTCTGAATGGATTAACATTGCTACACGAAGTGTTTTTGGGAGTAAGGCCTCCTCTTTGGCCCTTCTGTATTTTGTTATGAAATAAAATAGCACTAAGGCCTTTGTCAGAGACTTGTGCTTTGATTTTTCATTTCCCTCCAGGAATGTGAGAAATAAACTTCTGTTCCTTATAAATCACTTAGTTTTTGGTATTCTGTTATCGTAGCAAAAGCCAGACGGAGACAGTCAAAACAGACAATATGTTTCCTTTTCCCTTAGACCCTCACACCTATTTTAAAATATCATTCTTTGCTAAAATGGCTATTAGGCACTATAATATCTAAAGCTCTTCCTGGGGTGTCAGACATTTGTATACATATTCAACTTTTATGTCACTTGAACATATATTTGCCATTTGCCATGAGTGGTCTGTCTGTGAGGATCAGAAGCAGCCAATGAAATAGAAAATCCTTAAGCTCCCCAAATATATATCTCATCTTCAAAAACATGTCTGCATTGAGTGGCTGGACTCCTAGATTCATTGTTATATAATATAAACACTGTATTCTACAAGCATCTACAATTTCACTGCTCCCCAACACAGAAAAGTATTTATCCTGACTTTGTTCTCCTGCTCATGATGCTGTATTGCTATCAGGCCTCCCATTCGTCGGGAGTCTGCCAGGTTTCTCTTATTTGAGCCTCACTTTTTGCAGGAAGCCCCTCCGCTCATTTCCACTGTACCTCAATCTTTGGTAGTTAATTGTCTGCTGACTTATATTTTCCCACTGTGTTAAGTGTTCAGCTAATCTCACCAATGAGGCATACTCTAAGGGAAAGCCCTGTGTCTTACATACAGGAAGACTGTCTTTGGACCCATCCTATGAAGGCTCACAGAAGGTGCTTAAGCAGTCACTTCTTAAAGTTGGTGTCGGACAAAAGGTGCTAGCTAGTGGTTTTAAGAGGCCCAGCACTATCTGACCTACTTAACATCTCCAACTCTGCAGCCTAAGAGCCTAATCCATGAATCTCTTTGAATTCCCATCTTCCCACCATTTCTGTATGAATGGGGTGACCTGTTCATCAACACAGTCCCCAGCCAGAGACTTCAACCTCATTCTTGGCACCCCTCTTTTCTTTACCCCTACTCCATATGTCACCCCTCCTACAAAACTTACCTCCCACATCTCTCTCCAACCACCCATCATCTTCTCTCCATTCCACATCCACCACATGGGTCCAGGCCCATCACCCATTGCCATGTAGACTACTGCCCTGGCCTCCTGTTGGTCTCCTTGTCCATCTGTTCAGATCACCCTCTACTCAGGGGCTCCCTTTCACTTTCTGATAAGGACTGGGGTCCCATCACTGCTGAGGGTCTGCAAGGTCTGGCTGATCAACCCCTCCCCCGCCTAGGCCTCTGGTCTCCCCTGGCCTCCTTCCAACTCCATGTGCCTCCATGTCTCTCTCTCAGTACTTTTCACGTGCACTCCCCCACCCCAACCTGCTGGCATTATTGCTCCTGGACCATTTTCTCACTTCCTTGGGGGAAGTGACCACTTCCCTGACCTCCCGGACCTAGACACACTCCCCCAGATGGCCTTTGTATTAAAAGACTCCAAGGTCCAGGAGGGTACTTGCTCTGCCTTGTGTGCCCAGTTTCCAGCCCAGAGCAGACATTCACTTATGACTTTGTGAATCAGTAGTCATCAGCATGGAGTGACAGTATTTCAAACCCTGGTCATGTGTGTAATCTCAAGTCACCCTGATGATAGACTCGTTTTATTGAAACAGAGAGATATTCTTTCCTGATGATCAGAGCTGGGACAGACTTCTGATTCCCAATTTTGTGCTTTCTCTACATTGCGTTCCTCGCTTAGTTGTACTAAGTATCATTCCAAACCCAGACTAGTAGGAGGCATGTGGAACGTCACCACGAACACAGGCTCTTAACGTTCTAGCCATCTGCTTCTGATCCTGGCCCTGCTTTCATTTCCTTGTGTGTCTTTAGGCAAAGTCATTCATCTCTCTCAGCCAGTGACAGTGCCTACCACAGGGTTGATGAGCGAATTAAACAGGACAATGTGTGGTGAGCACCTACCCAAGTGTGTGCCACAGAGTAAGCGTATATAAACGTCAGCTGACAGTACTAATGAATGGACGCTATGCCTTCTTCTTAGCTCAATGCTTGTAAGTAATCTTACACTTTGGCAGGTTATTTTCTGTACTGCAACCTTGCTGTAAGCGTTTGTAGCTTCTGATTATGTAGTATCAACCTCTTCTGTCTCATTGTGTTAGGGAATTTTGCCTCCCTTGGCTTGTCTCAGTTGCAGACTTTCTCCTCTCAGCCTAGTCTACTTTGCCCTGAATTTTTTTCCTGGCAAGGAACCTCCTCTCTCCTCATAAGTACCAGCTCCTGCATCTGGGCAGAAGCCCAGATGTCTGTTCCTTTAGGACCCCAGTTATAGATGACCAGCTGCAGAAAGGAGGATTCTAGCAGCTGCAGATTCTAATTTGGGTCATTTCACCTCCTTCTTCCCTTGCTTATAGCACCATCTTCCTAAAAGCTAATGTCCATTTTCCTAGAAGGGAAAGCAAAAGTGTAAAGTCACAGCCCTCACCCGGCCTAGGAGCTGCTTAAACTGCATCCATTTCTTCTTCACTGTCAGGCAGAGCACCCATGAATCCGTCCCTGTGACTTGAGTCCCCTCTTGTAGCACCATAATTGAACTTACTAGAAATAGAAAGTAACAAGATGACCAACATGTCACAACTCACTGGGAATGCCAGGTCAAACCGCCAGAGAAAGGAGGGGAGGTGGAGGAATCCCCCTTTTCCTGGGAGCTCCCCACGTTGAACTGTTGTCTGTAAAGAAGCAGCAAGTGTTACCACGTCGACAACAACACAGACTCACTGAAGTGCACACGAGTTCACCATCTGAAACCATCACCTAGTGCTCACTGACGGTCACTACGGTCCAAAGTCAGGGCCACGTTGGCCATTCTGATGCCAGCATTCCCTGAGCAGGACATCATCTCTGCAAGGTTCTCTACCTCCCCTGCCAGGGGCAAGGGTGCCCTCATAACTGATGACAGGCTGCCTGTGGTCACTTCTTGTGAGAGGCAGTGGGGCCAGAGGGAAAGAGCACAGGGGAGGGCCAGACACTTTCCAATCCTGTGCTGCTGCTCCTTAGGTCTTAGTGTCTCTGAGGTCCAGGTTTCCATCTGGAAGACGGTCTCCTGTACAGGATGTGTGATCACCCTGGGGCCTCGTCTAGAGGCTAGAACACAGAGTTGGTCTTCCATACCTGTGGGCACCACACCCACACATCCAACCAACTATGATTGAAAATATTAGGAAAAACACAAAAAACCAAAACAGGAATAAACTTCTCCTTTACTGAAGATGTTCAGTTCTTTGTCACGATTCCCTAAACAACACGTATGACAAGTTTTTCCACAGCATTTGCCTTTTATGAGGTGCCATATGTAGTTTAGAGATCATTTAGAGTGCACAGCAGGATGTGCATGGGTTCTAGGTGAACACCACACCATGTTACATAAAGCACATGAGCTTCTGTGGATTCAGGTGCCCTCAGGAGATGCTGGAAGCAATCCTCTAAGAATAAGAGGGATCGCAGTGGCACACACCTGTAATCCCTCACCAGAGCCAGTGCTGTCCTCTTTGGAGTTTCCACCTTTAAAACTGTGAGCTAAATAAGCCACATTTGATTATTATAAAATATCCAACCTCAGGTCTTTCATTATAGTAATAGAAAACAGACTTATATACTTCCCCTTCCAAGCTTGGATCATTTCCACCTAATTGAGAGTGAAGGGAGCCTGAAGATCAATTTCATCCTGGATTCATTGACCATTTCAAATCTTTATATGTCTGTCACCTTTTTCAGTGCGAAGCTGAGCTCCGTGGCCACTGCAATGAGAGTCACCTGTGTGCCTAATACAGGAGGGCAAGAGCACACTAGGGAATGCAGCCAGCCTCAGATGCCATCTGTTCCTGTGAAGTGGGACACCCACCCCATCAAACACTAGTAAGTTGCCTTCCCTGGGAATTTCAAATGAATATTTCAAATCCTAAAGGGGACCATAAGAAAATGACTATGGGAATTGTGATCTTTTCTTTTCTTAAAATTTATTTTAAAAATGTACATAAGCAATTGCATCTGTGTTGTTGACTTTTTTTTGCATATATAGTACTAAAATTTTAAAATCATCTATAAATGATAAAACGAGCACCACAATCAGAATACAAAATATAATTTCCTCTTATCCTGGCAACTACTAAGCTGTTGTCTGGCAGGGGAGTTTTGTCTTTCTGAAAATGTCATATAAATGGAATTGAACAGTAGTAACCCTTGGAGACTGGCTTCTGTCACTCAGGACAGTGGCTTTGAGAATCATCCCAGTTGTGGTGTGTAATCACTGCTAACTCCACTTTAATGTCTGGAGGAATAATCCCCATTTCATTCCTGAAGCTGGAGATGTTGACCTTCTTTTGGTCACTTTTATCACAGGTTTGTCAATTTTATTGCTCATTTCAAAGGTCCAGCTTTTAATTTCATTGATTTTATCCAGTATTTTTTTCTGTTTTCTATTTCATTGATTTCTTCTTCCATCTTTATTATTTCCTCCCTGCATTTGATTTGTGTTTGTTTTGTTTTTCTCCTTTCTTGAGGATTAGATGATTGATCTGAGAACTTTCTTCTTTTCTATTTGTAATATGAAAAATACTAGCTATTAATGCTCTGAGTATCTTTATAACCACCACTTGGCACAAATTCCACAAATTTTGACATGCTGTATTTCCACTTTTCTTCAGTTGAAATATTTCCTAATTTTCCTTAAGACTTCCTCTTTGACCCATGGTTTATTTAGAAGTGTACTCTTGACCATCTGAGTGTTTGAGAGATTTTCCTGTAATCTTTCTCATTGGTTTTTTTAAAATTTCATCATGGTCAGATAATTTACTTTTCATGATTTTAATTCTTTCAAGTTTCTTAGTTTTCTAACAAAGAATATGTTCTATCTTGGCAAATGCTCCATGTGTATGTGAAAAGCATGTGTATTCTGCTGCTGCTGGTGGGAGTATTTGCTGAACATCAGCAGCATCCTATCGGTTGGTGGTATTACTCAGTTCTTCCATATCCTTGCTAATCTTTTGTCTACTGCTTCTGTTTGGTAATGCGAGGGAGGTATTGAAGTCCCCCAAATAATTTTGAATTCATCTATTTTTCTTTTTAGTTTTTTTTCTTGATATACTTACAAAATCTATAGTTAGATGTAAACATCTTTAGGGTTGTTAAGCCTGCTTGGTGAATGGACCCTTTGGCCAATAAGTAATATTCCTCTTTATCCCTGGTAATTCCTTCTGCTTTGAAACCTGCTCTGATACTCATAGAGCCACTCACTCCAGTTTGTTTTGATGTATGGCTTCCTGCCACATATTTTTCCATCCCTTTACTTTTTTTTTTGGAGGGGGGCATGCTCCGGACTGAGCGTAGAACCCTGCTCATGCTAGGCAAATTCCCTACTACTGAGCTGCAACCCCAGACCCTTTTGCTTTTAACCTTAATATACTGTTATGATTGAATCATTTTCTTGTTGACAACATATCGGTCATGCTGTTTTAGCCATACTTTGACCATCTTGGTCTTTGAATTGGTGCATTTAAACCAGAGATCAGCAAAGTCTTCCTATAAAGGGACAGGATTTGAAGCCGTGTGGCCTATAGGTCTGTTGTACTACCCAGCTTTACTCATGTAGTGAGAAAAAGGCTGCCGACTAAGTAAGGAATGAATGTGGCTGTGTTCCAATAAGACTTCAAATACAAAAGCAGGTTTGGACCAGGGCCACGTTTGCTCACCACTAGTTTAAATCATTACATTATTTACATGTTTAAATTTATATCTGCCATTGAATCGTTTTCTGATTGTACTCCTCACCACCTCCTTTTTTTAAATTCTGGAGATTTATTTTGGATAAAATGATTGAAGACAGATTATAATGATGCATTGTATAAAGATACTAGAAAGTAGTTTAAGAACGTATTTTAAGTAGGGTTCTTACATACTCATAAATAAGTTTGCTCCCAAACCAGCTGGGTGGGGCTGGCTGCCTTCTGCTCAAGCGGAGATACTTTCTTCTCAAAAAAGTACAATTCATGAGTGTGGAGCTGAAGTCCCTCATATAAAATAAAATAGTTCCTTTTTTTCCCCAAAAGAAACAACATCATTACACTACTACATCTTTCTAGTTCTGCAAATCTGAAGCAATCAATCATCCATTAAATGCATAAATACTTTCTACCCAAAATATTTGTAATATTATGCAGAGACACAAATCTCCCACACCGACATGGGTCAATCCGTGTTCTCAGCAAAGCAACAAGCGCTTTAGCTATTTTCATGGCGTAGGTTATGATTCCACTTTATGAACCTGCACCAGACCAGACCAAGAAACAACAGCTGCCAACCGTCTAGTCGAACCAGGACAGCGGACAAGAACACAGCCCCCGGGCTGTCTCCAGCTTTCCTCTTCCCAGAGGCAAGTCCTTGACTTCAGATCCAACATGTCTCCCGCCCCCCTCGCTTCCCCAGGCAGCGCAGCTTCTGAGAACTCTTCACCATAGTCTTGGTTTTCTTCCCCATCCTGACATCTTGAAGATGCTGAGTTTGAGAGCAACTCTGACCCCAGCTACAGAGAACCTGGGACAGTCTGGGCTTTCCCTACCAAGTAGTGCCCCAAGTTCGTCTTTCCTGGACTGTCTAGGTGGCCTTGTCTTTCCATCCCTGTCACTGTCTATGCGTCTCATTCTCCAAAATTGTGCACTAAACATCTTAGTAGTTTGAGGCATCCTGGGCTCCTGTGTATTTTTTTCTTTTCCTTATTTTAAAAAATTTGTTCTTTTTAGTTATACATGACAGTACAATATATTTTGACATATCATACACTCATGGGATATAACTTCCCATTCTTGTGGTGGTACATGACGTGGAGTTACTCTAGTCATGTATCCACATATGAACATAGGAAAGCTATGTCCAATTCATTCTACTGTGTTTCCCATTCCCTTACCCCCATTTCCCACTGTCCAATCTGCTAAACCTTTACTCCTCCCTCCCCCCTCCCCATCTGTGTTTCAGCATCTGCATATCAGAGAGAACATTTGGCCTTTCGTTTTGGGGGATTGGCTTATCTCACTTAACATGATAGCCTCCAGTTCCATCCATTTACCAGCAAATGCCATAATTTCGTTCTTTTTTATGGCTGAGTAATATTCCATCGGGTATATGTAGCACATTTTCTTTATCTATTCATCTAATGAAGGGCACCTAGGTTGGTTCCATAGCTTAGCTATTATGAATTGAGCTGCTATGAACATTTATGTGGTCATGTCACTGCAGTATGCTGATTTTAAGTCCTTTGGATATATGCCAAAGGGTGGTTGCATTCCAAGTTTTCTGAGGAATCTTCATACTGCTTTCCAGAGTGGATACACCAATTTTCAGTCCCATCAGCAATGTATGAGTGTACGTTTCCCCCACATTCTCACCAACATTTATTGTTACTTGTATTCTTTCTTGTGGGGGGGAGTATGGGGTGGTTCCAGGAATTGAACTCAGGGGTACTTGACCACTGAGCCACATCCCCAGCCCTATTTTGTATTTTATTAAGAAACAGGGTCTCACTGAGTTGCTTAGTGCCTTGCTTTTGCTGAGGCTGGCTTTGAACTCTCAATCCTCCTGCCTCAGCCTCCCTAGCTGCTGGGATTACAGGCATATGCCACCGGGCCCAGCCATACTTGTATTCTTGACAATTGCCATCTGACTGAGTGAGAGGAAATCTCAGTGTAGATTTAATTTGCATTTCTCTAATTACTAGTGATGTTGAACATTTTTTCATTTATTTGTTGACCATTCACGTTTCTTCTTCTGTGAAGTGTCTTGTTAGTTCCAATTGTATCTTTTTGTTCTATAGTTTCTTTAGTTTTTGTTTGGAGGATCTATCCAGTGGTGAGAGAGGTATGTTAAAGTCACCTAGTATTATTACGTTGTGGTTTATTTGCTTTTTGAAATTGAGAAGGGTTTGTTTGACATACATAGAGGCTCCATTGCTTGGGGCATAGATATTTATGATTGTTATGTCTTGTTGATGTATATTTCCCTTAAGCCATATGAAATGTCCTTCTTTGTCCCTTCTGATTAACTTTGGCTTGAAGTCCACTTTATATGATAGGAGGATAGAAACCTCTGCTTGTTTATGAGATCCATGTAGGTGATATATTTTTTTCCCATCCTTTTACTGTCAGGCTGTGGGTGGCTTTGCCTGTAAGGTGAGTCTCACAGAGATAGCATATTGTTGGTTCTTGTTTTTTAATCCAAACTGCCAGTGTTCATGTTTTTAAAATATTTTTATTAGTTGTTCATGGACCTTTATTTTACCTACTTATTTATATGTGGTGCCTTGCACATGCTAAACAAGCACTCTACCACTGAGCCACAACCCCAGCCAAATGTTATTATTGAGATATGATTTTTATTCCTTGTCATTTTGATTTATTTCCGGTTTTTAATTTGAATTAGTTTCTCCATTGATTCACTGTTCTCTCTCTCTCTCTCTCTCTCTCTTTTGTACCAGGGATTGAACTCATGGGCGCTCAACCACCGAGCCACATCCCCAGCCGTATTTTGTATTTCACTTAGAGACAGGGTCTCACCGTTGCTGAGGCTGGCTTTCAACTTGCAATCCTCCTGTCTCATCTCCCCAAGCTGCTGGGATTACAGGCTTGCCTGGCTTGATTCACTGTTCTTTTAGTGTAGTTCTTTCTTCCCTTTGCTGGTTTTTACTTTTATTTTTCATTTCTTCTTCATGAAATATCTTATTGAGTATGTTTTTTTAATGCAGGCTTTCTAGTTGTGAACTCTTAACTTTTGTTTATCATGGAAGGTTTTTATTTTATCATCAATTCTGAAGCTTAATTTTGCTGGGTGTAGTATTCTTGGCTGACATCTATTTTTCTTTTAGAGCTTGG